GTGGATTACATTTTTACTTCTGACTGTTGGTTGATCTCTCCTTATAATCTGAATAAGAACAGAGATTTAAAAAAATAACACTTATATCACAAATAAAGGGGTGATATTTACTGAATGCATGTAATAAGAACTGCAGAATAAAATGGTTATTTTCCAGTCTGAAATTGTCAACAGGATTTTGGAAACTGTTTACTCAAGTAGTCAATAGGAAACCAAACATTACCATGGTAACTATCACCTTACAGATGCCGTAATTTGTATACTCTTTAAGTGGACTTTTTAATTGTCATTTAATTTAAAAGTCTCTTCACTATTTTGTCCTCTCTCAAAAAAACCCTTAAAACAAGAACTGAAAACATTAATTCTATTAATATTTTATGCAATTAAGGCTGCCATCTTGCTAGGGTGTATGTCTACAACCCCAAATTCGAATGCCTACCTGATCTTTGGGTTGAAGAGTCAGAACTGAGTTGGACGTGGCAGTGATGCACAGTTCTAGACCACTGGCAGTGAAGTTTTTGGTCCTTTGGAACACTGATCTTGTGAGAGGTTTCAAGGCATGCACACAGCGACTCACAGGGTGTGAGTGAGGCTGAGGCCATTCTGGCCCTTTTGAAGGTGGCTCATCTCATCTTCTATTCTGTAGAATCATAGAATGGTTTAGGTTGGAAGAAACTTGAAAAATAATTCTGTTCCAACTCCCCTGCCGTGGGCAGGGGCACCTTCCACTAGACCAGGCTGCTCAGAGCTCCATCAACCTGTTCTTGAACACTTCCAGCAATGAGGCATCCACAGCTTCTCTGGGCAACTTGGGATCCTTCTGTGGGTCAAGATATATCTTTAACAGTTAGAGACAGGATAATATCTTTTATTATCTCCATGTTTCAATCTAAAAGTTATTTTTCCTGGTTCACATTTTCAACTACAACACTCCCTGAAAGCTCTCCACCAAGCGTTCCTAGCTTGAGATCATAAACTTCCTGCTTCATGTCTTAAAGAGTTTCCTGACTTACCTTCTTTCAGTACCCCAGCTGTGCTGAGGGTGTCACCTGCTCTAACAGCCACAGTCAAAAGCATAGGCAGCAATTTATTGATTCAGGTTTCAGGTTTTGTAGAACAAGGCTAAAATGGCTCAGGCCTTAGATGCATGGGGGACAACTTGCAATACCTTAGATACAAACCATAAGAGGAATGCACAACTTGAAAAAAAACCAAAAAAACCCACAAAACCAGAAGGCATAACAGGCAAGTTACAAGCCATTCATGAAGAACCAGTGGATGATTTATACCAGGGTTCTATCTGTTGCCGTCTAAACCAGCAGGAGAACAGTAATTGGTACACAAAGGAAAGAGAAACAGTTCTGAGAATTACACAAGTGTAACAAAGAAAAAGAGAAAAATTATAGCATTAAAATAATCTCATTTTAATAAGAATGTGCAAAGTTCTGGAAACTGAATTGGGCTTTTGGCAGGGGAGTCAGCAGGCTGAATTTAAATGTTAATTTTGATCTGTAGTGCAGAATGCATTAGGCAATGAAGGTTAGATACAATTTTTTTGTAGCAACTGTCCTGTCAAATGGTGTTAATTATATCCTAATTAGTTTACAACCCTGTAGCTAGTCCATCTTACAAACAATTAGCTGAGAGATTTTATTAGCCTAGCATTTGATATGAGCACAATAATTTCTACATTTTCTTCCTCCCATCCCTTTCATTTCTTTCCCCATTTGCAGCTTAAGAACAAAACCTAAAGGGTAAAAACATCCTGAATACATAAACGACATAAAAGAGTACAACTTACCAAATGGTACCCTTTTTCTCCAAGCCAAGTTAACACTATTATTTCTCAGATCACAGCATCTGTGATTGATGAGTATTATACAAGTACATTTTGTGCAGGTATCAGTTAAAGTTTATAGTGCTAATAATGGAAAAAATCTGATTCAGTACTTTGTGTGGGTCTGAGAGACATGAAGAACAGCATAATATTCTTTAAGATAAATTAATCTCTTCCATTGTTCTGTCATCAATTGTCCATTGATATTTCATATCCATAGAGTCAACATTTTAATAGTATTGTACTGTGTTGTACAACAGCTTTTGGGCATTATTTACAGAGAGAAACATTTCTGCAAACACATATAAGACATCACAAAATAAACTTTCAGAAGCAATAGCTTTAGGCTGAAATCTGACACAGGGAAATAAACTTATCCACAGTAAAACAAATTTAGTAGGCATTTCACTCAAGATAAATTTGGCCTTCTGTTTTAAGATCAGAGCAAGAGTTATTTTAACTTCAAAATTAAATACACCTCTTGACAGGATATTCTGAGTGAGAATACAGATGCTTTGTGATGACCTCTTTTGCCAAAGCTGACTCAAAAGAGAATGGGCACTACCTGTGACGTGCCAACTGCTGATGCTCTAAGCAATGACTAAGTACAAAGCAGTCATAACCTTCCAGAGTCAAGGTCACAATTTAATTTCTGTTCAGAACTGACTGGCACCATCACAAGTACACACTCCCAAATCAAGAGCTTTAAAAACATATTGTTCTGATCAAGAGAAAAAGTAGTTAGAAGAAAATTAGCAAAATCATGGAAGGAGAATGTCTTTTAAAGCTAATGATAATTATTCAAATATACTTTGGGACAGAGATAAAAATAAAACTTGGTCCCAATTGCTGATGCAATTTTGTAATTACAAGTTCTTCATCTTCACTATAAGACTTTTCCTGATATATTCTCAGGTATCATTTGTGGTTTTATTCAATGAAATCCTGTTAGCAACATACAATCAGCCTGGATCACAGTACATCCTTTATCACAGTGCAAACCATGTTAGACAGTCAGGACTGGCTACAAAACAGAAATTCCAGATTTAAGCCAGTCCTCCTGCATGTTGGCTATTGCCAACAATTGCACCAAAATATTTGTGATTGCAATTGATTTTGAAATAAAGAACAGCTTGTGGTTTCTGTAATGAATGGACTGATTTTGTGTCGATTCACTAATACATACAGTGAAACTCATTGTGCATCTCAGCTGCAAAAAGCTCTTGAGAAAATAATTCCCTCATCTTTACTTTGTTTTAGTGACTTCTCTCTTGAAAAGATAAGTGAACAAATAGAGTTAAGATCTTGATGGATGCATACTTTCATTTTTCCTTGTGTTAGAATAAATTTTTGGATCATTTAATTAATTTTTATACTTTGAAAAATATTACAAGTTATAAATGGCCAGTAAATTCTATTTATAACAACTCCAACTGCATTGTACACTGTAGTAACTTCCTTGGAATTCTGCAATCCGCAATGTCAATAACGTCTAAATTAAGGTGTTTAATCTGATTAAGGGTAGATTAAGAAAGCACTGACATGACAGAATTAGTCTAGACTCCTAATTATCCATGGATTATGGCATTTGTCTTTCCAAATTGGAATTACAAGTGAAAGTGAATATTTTAAAGAAACAGGCAAGTACTAGGCAAAGCAGAGTTGCACTGCATGGTATTATCACCTCCAAGTATCCTTCTATGACAGTAAAATAATGCTACAGGCACAGTCAAATCACTGTTAAGCAGAGGGAAGGCATGTATGGTTAAACTAGGAATTTAAACAGAGCTTGGAGGAAGAAGCAGCACACAAGCCTTATCAGCAGCGAAGTGACTCTAAGAGGTAATAATAATAAGAATATGATGCTTATCACAAATTTTTCTCTATTTTTCTTTGCTACTTCAAGGGCCTGTTGTGCCCTCTCCTACCCACCCTACCCCCCACCAGGAGAAATGAAAGCATTCTGAGAGAAGTTTAGATCTTATTTTGTTATTTTTTGCCATTCTTCAAATCTAGCATTGATTATCATTACCTCTTTCCCAGATGCAAACCCGTTCAGAAGATGCCTTAAGAAGGTAATCCCAGATCACTGAACATTTAAAGTGAAAGAATCCCATGCTATAAGTAAGGCTTGTTAAACTGGAGCTCAGATTATCTCCTAGATAGCAAATGGTTGTAAAATTATATAGTCCATAGTGTAAAATTAAGTGGAACCCTGAAGAGAATTATTAATCTTTAAGGGAAGAATCCTTATTCCTATTCTACTTACCTAAGTCAGAACCATAAGGATTACAACAGTATGAACTTTTCTTACTTAAACTAGTGAAAAATACAAAGTTATGCCATTTAACACAATGAATGTATCAATATAAATCATGCTGTGGAGAGAAAACCAGTCTGTAACTAATTCTGCTCCTGCTTGGCTCAAGCATGCTCTCTTTTTTTTTTTTTTTCTTTTTTTGGCTGTGCATAAATGTTCACTGGCAAGTGCTCATCTTTTGCAGACTGAAAATCAAAAAGACAATTTCTATCCTGAAATAAAAATAAATCATATATTCTATTCCAGATTTGGCAGCGTTCCCCATAAAGAAATATAAAAAATTGGGAGTTATATAAGCCACATGCCACAAATCATCTTGCATGCTCAAATGTCAAGTTATATTTTACATGAGTCACTAACTATCTGGATTTCTTTGGTAATGTTTTTCTCCTCTTGGATTTGTATCCCAAGTCCATGCACTTTTTCTTCTGCTGCATGGGAAACCTTCACTCTTTCATGCAAACTCTATGTGAAAAGCTATTAAAAAACAAACAAACAAACAAAACCCAACCAACCTAACAAACAAACAAAAAAACCTAACCAAAAAATGAAATTTAAAACCCAATACAAAGATTGTGAAGTAGCAAATTTGAGATTGTCTCATTTACAATTACTGACACAAGGTAGCTGCATGCTTAGCTGGATACCAGATACCCCACTGACACCACTCATACACAAACCTGGAAGACATCCATGTTTTCTCAAATACATGTGAAATGCAGAATCCAAGTTTGCAACATTTTACACTTCCATCTTCCCTGAATCTCTTAGCTAGTCTGATCCATCTTGCCACCTTGATATTGGCAAGACACCTCTAGTCTGAGTACTTCAGGCACTGAAAAACTTGAGCTAACATGAAGTCAGGTCTCACATTCCTTGATGTGGTTACACAGTAATGCAGGAGTGGGAGGGCTTAGCACGACTGTCCTCTTTTGGGACCATTATATGGTGTAATTCATAACAGTGGCCAAAGCTGGTGTGTAGTCAGACAGAGAATTAGGTAGTTCCATGTGAAGCCCACATTCCCTTCTTTTGCTGCTCCTGAAGGACCATGGGTGTAGCAGAAAATATAGGCTCATATTTTCCATGCTTTTTGAATATAATCATTGGCAACACTTAAAATCTGTGACTATTTCTAGCTCATCAGTAATGCTTAAAAAAAATGATATAGCCACCACAGGAGAATGCCTTTATTATGCTATCTCCTGAACCAAGCAGTTTCAGCTCATTGGGATTCAAGTAATTAAATGCTCGAGCAACCCCTGCAAGTCTAGACGGGAACGCCTGGATACACAGTCAAGTACAAAGTGAGCAAGGCAAATGCTGTTCCAGCTTCTGCTCCTTGCCATCTGATAGTCAGTTTGGTCATTCTTTACTGCCCATTGGAGATAGCTGCCATTAAAGAGGGAACACCATGAATCGTAACGTCTGGCAGTGCTGTTGAAATAGATGAGACACATCGTCATTTTTTTGCTTCAGCAAACTTAATCCACAGCTCTGGAAAATACTGCTGAAGTTACCCTGGCATAAGACAAAGCTTTTGGATTCTTCAATGAGTTGGCATCTGTGAATTATTTGCCACAGAAGCATAAATCTTGGCAGCATCTCTTGCTCTGAACTTTGAAGAGCAAGGCTGAGAGTACGCTTTCACAAGGCAGCGGCGCTTGTCCTTTAAAGGTTGAGATGTGATTCTATGGTAGGAAGAGAAAAAGAAAACATGAAAATTTTACAAATGAGATTTTTCAGTAAACTTGTTATTTTCAGATGTTTCAAAAATATAACATTTTTCCCCAGTGAAAATCATGAGACATACCACCATAAACAAACATATATAGAGAATTCATACAAAAGGTGTTGCATCATTTAAGAATCTTGAATATGAATTCCTTAAGCTGGGTTACCAAAGGCAATTCTTAGGCATTTTTTCTGCCTTGAAGTGTGATGAACAACCAGCCTCTCCACATGATTTGTTGTAGGAGCCTTGCACCACAGCAAAGCAGACAGATGCCCAATTACAGCCTAGGGCACTCTTCTTGAGGTTACATCTTTAGCAAGCCTTGGCCTTTATCCCCTCCTGCAGGTGAGAAATTTTGTCCTTGTCTACATTAGCTTGGAAACATTCACTCTTTCTCTTCCCAATTTTCCTTCCAAGATGAATACATACAAGTGCTGCTAGGTAAAGCAACTGTCTTTAAATATAAATATAAATATATATATAATATATATATATATATGCTGCAGAAAAATAATATATGGCACATATATATTATTAATATTAGTTATCATTAGGATGATGTGCATACCACAGAAAGTTTCAAGGCAAACCTTCCTTTTCTCATAGAGATTGTAACAATTTAAGGAAATTGCAAAATATTATTTCCCATATCCCAGTCTTCCCAACCAGTAGTCTGGAGACATGTATAAACAGGACAAATTTAGCCTCTGTGAACAACTCTTCTGGTGCTGATTAAAAAATACTTGCTGATCTAACATTCAGTAAATAACATGTTTTTTTGCACTACTGATTTTTTTTTCTGTTTTCAAGGCAAGGTATTGTTTCATTGAAAAGTAATCTCTTAGTTAATCTGGGAAATTGCTTCCCTTCATCTATGACTATCCACTAACTTGGTAATGAATTTAGGAGGGGTTCCAATGTGTGTTTGCTGCTATTTGCACTAAAATAACAGAAATAGAAGTTAAATGAAAAGAACTAATTCATGTGAAAAGGCTACATTTCTTCAGTATGCCACGGATGGTAAAATTATAGACTAGGAAGAAATGTTTAGGTAAAATAGTATTAAATTCACCCTTATCATCTTTGTGCTGAATCTGGCAAACTAAAACATACAAATTTACTGAGATGACAGATAAATGCAGATCCCCAAAGTTTAACACTTGTCAGTGCCCTTGTCCTTTTTGAACTAATTTGTATGCAAAAGCCCATGGAAATGTATGACAATGTTCACCACAATTTATGCTTAGTAAAAAAAAATAAAAAATTCACTTGCGTTAATCTTATTTTCCAATAATTTCAACAGATGTCCCTTACTTCCTATATAATAATTAGGTATTGATACTTAAATCCTTTTCCCCTCATTAACTGATTTTTAGGCCATACCTCTAATTCAGTCACTTGTTTTCCATGATAAATAATCCTAGTATTTTAAATCTTTTGTTATATGAAGACAGATTTGCCTTCCTCTTCTCCCCATGCTGTTTTGAGGTAGGGTAAATGCAGTATCATGGCATTCAAACTCTTGTAGTACTAGAAACACACAGAATGGTGTAAATCGAGGATTTTTGACTCCTCAGAAAACTGAGAGCTTCCCAGAGCACAGGTCACTCGTGGTGACAGCTTGTTTAGAGTTCATCGGGGCTGCAAATACATGCATTTATGCACACATGTAAAAAGACATACAGAAAACTGGGAATATCTACCACCTGGCCCTATGTTATCTAATTATTCAGCACACAAGGCATCTTTGCAGCCTGCTTGGCTGCAATGTTGTAAAGCCATGTTTAACTTTTCAATTCATCCCTTTCTCCAAGGTGAAAATATGCCTGCATATTAAGCACTCTAAATCCCAAACAGAGGACCTGGGGCCTCATCTTATAATGAATTTCCATTATAAAACCTAACCTCCTAATGATTTTCATCCAACAAAGCCACCTCCTAACGATAATTTCCTGTTTTTCAGGAAGCCCTGTGTTTCAGGGCTAATTTACATAACTAGGTAAATGACACTGACTATATCACCTGTGTCTGTCACATAGAGGGAGAAATCACTTCCCCTTACAAAAAAACCTATTGACTTTCATTTGCTGCATCATATTTATTCATGGATCTGCTAATTAATCCTCTTTATTTTACAGCTCCTACCAATTTTATTCTCATGGAAATCTGATTTACTTGTTTATATTAACTAGGATGGCTCTGGAGTTCTTAGAAGTTTCTGTCATACTTAGCACTTTCTTTCCTTAGGTACTAAGGATGATACAATGAATATATTGCAAACCACAGTTAGCAGTTCACCAGTTTCATATTCATGGGTGAATGACATATGGCCCTGGCAATTTATTCCTATTCATTTCTAAAATTTGTTTTAAAACCTTTTTAGTGAGGTTTCATCTCGAGACAGTTCCTGTCCCCCTCCTCCGTAATGAGAGGTTCCTTCTGCTGTGGAGCTCCTGATCTGTGACACAGGCTGCCTTGAGCTGTGACAAGTATATTATCTATACATGAAGCAGAGGTTTCCAGCTCAGCAGAAGCTGGGAGCTGCTGTCTTCCTGAGGCTACCTGTTGGGCAAAATCCTGACTTTGTGGTGGGTTGATCCTGGCCAGCAGCTAAGCCTGCAACCACTCACCCACTTGTTCCCACACCTCCAGTGGGATGGGAGAAAGATTCAAAGAACAAATGATGGAAACTCACAAGTTGAGATAAAGACAGAGATAGCAGCAGACACAGAGGCTGCTATGGAGAAAATTAACTCCATCCCATCCAGCCAAGGTACAGTTTTGTAAAAGAGAGCAACCCTCAGGTGCAAAAGAAGTCAGGGACTGCTCTGTGTGGCACCAAAATTGACTTACCACAGGATACAGCAAAGCTGGTCATGTCTCAAGGAAAACTTGGTTAAGGAAAGGCAGAACACAGTAGCCAAAGGAAAAAAAAAAAAAAAGATGTGAGAAGAGGGGGAGAAGGGCTTCAGATGCTGGAGCAGAGCTTCCTCTGCAGCCCTTGGAGAAATCATGCTGGAATAGACAGATATTCACCCTGCAGCCTGTGGGAGACTCCATGCTAGAGTTATGGATATTTCCCAAAGGAACTGTGGCCCATGAAGAGCCCACAGAGGAGCAGGTTTATCCTTCAAGATTAGAGCCCAAGGGAAAGGCCCATGATGGAGCAGGGGATAGGTGATGTTAAGAGAAAGAAAAAGCAGAAAGGAGCTGTTATGGATTGACCACACCTCTCCAACCTCCTACAGTGCTGGGAAGAGGGAAGAGATAGAGTGGGTTGAGATGAAGGAGTGAGGTTGAGCCAGGGAGAAAGGGATAGGGTAAAGAAAAGATACTTTAGTTTTTGTGTTTGTTTCCCACTATTCAATTCTAATTTAATTAGAAATATTTTTTTCCGTTAACTAATCTCCTCATTAGTTAAGTAATGGCACAACTCTTTTGCCTGTACCAATAATTAGCAAGAGATCTCTCTGTCTTTACCTAAGCACATGAGCTTTTCTCTCTATTTTCTCCCCTTGTTCTTCTGAGCAGGGAGAGTGAGAGAGAAGTTGGATAGGTGCCTGGCAGCAACCAAGATCAACTTCCCCCTTGTGAAGGCATTTCAGCATGAGGAAGGTTCACCAATTCTTCCTCAAATGGCTAAATCCAGGGATGACTTTTTATAAGATCTGAATCACATTGGTTTATCCACAATCCTCCAAGATATTCCAGCAGGTTTAAGATTAGTCTGGTTATTTCCTCCTGTCTTTGACCATCTTAAAAGCCTTAAAAGTGTGGAGGACCCAGAAACACAAGTTCCTGAAGTTGCAGGTGAATGTGCTGACATGGGCCAGGTTGTTAGGCTGGGTGGGGAAGGCCTCCAAAGGTCACCATGGCCACAGCTTCTTCCTGTTATTGGTGTGTGGTGGCTTGCAGAAGGAAAAAAATTCTACCCCATGGTTACCTTCACAAATTGGAATCACAAACTGGGCTTGCTCCCGAGGATAAAAGGAATGAGCAGCAGGAACTCTGAGCTCCTACCTTCCACAGAGAAAATACAAACATTTGTTCTGATGACAGCAGCTCATTTCACTTCTATGGGAACTCAGGCAGAGGAGGAGCTGGTGCGTTTTTTTATTTTCCAAAAGCAAAAGGGTTAAGCACAGGATCAGCAGCAAGAGACAAACTTCTACTTCTTGCTGTGTTCAGTATCCTATTCTCACCCCTCACACCTGTGGATTGATAAGATCTAGCTTTTTATGATCTTTGGTCATTCGTAATTCCTATTAAAAACCAAAAGAAGCCAACAAAGAATAAAATCAGAACCCAAGCATTACTGCAGCAAATAAGTTAACAAATAGAATACATTTCTTACACAGCTATTGTTGACCCTCTCCCCTTGTAGCAGAGAAAAATCCAGCTTTCAAAATTGTGATGAATATGTTGCCAATATAATGATCTTCTAACGTGCAAAAAAGAGGCCAGGAAATGATTTAAAATGCCATAAACTTCCTCAGAACAGGTTTCCTGCTGATATGCCTTTCTCCCCGAAGTGCTCCCCATGCTCTTTCTGAAATATTCATTGCCCTAATGATTTCTTCAGGCACTGCTCCTATACATAAAAATTAGTTCCTCCTATCAAGAAAGAAGTCATTCCAAGGGAACTGTTATGGGAGAAATCCACAGGATCCAGAAATGTATGCAAAAAATATTTGCTTTTCTTTCTTTGAACCTAAGGAGTTGATTTTAACTTTTATTTTCAGAAGTGGCACTGTTACTTTTATCCATGTGTTTACAAGTCAAAAAACATATTTCTAATTTTTTTTTCCCTAGAGCTGTTACACATTTCTGTTTTACCCATGATCTGTCTTATTTCATGGACTTGTATTATGCCCCTGCAACACTGCAGGACTAGATGCACTAGGATTCACAGGATCATCCATTCTCTAGACACTTCTGCAGCTCTCAAAGCAATTC